TGTGTGTGTGTGTGTGTGTGTGTGTGTGTGTGTGTGTGTTGTGTTGTATAGTGTACAAGCATACACCTACCACAACTTCACAACTTCAGATGTTGGTCCTCACCTCCACCTTACTTGAGACAGTATCTCTTGTCAGACACTCACTCTGTGTGCCAGGCTAGCTCGCCCTGGAGGTTCTGGGGCTCTCCTGTCTCCTCCTGTCTCATTGTAGGAGAACTGGGATTACAGATGCTGCTTGCCACTGCATCCAGTCTTATGTGAGTCCCGGGGATCTGAACTCAGGACCTCACACTTGTTCAGCAGGGCTTTACCCACTGAGCCATCTCTCAAGCCCCATTCCATTATTTAATGTGCTAATAAAGAAATAAATATATAGGGGCTGGAGATGTGGCTCAGCAGTTAATAGCACTGACTACTCTTCCAGAGGATCCAGGTTCAATTCCCAGTACAACATGGTACCTCACAACAGTCTATAACTCCAGCATCCAACAGCCTCATACAGACGTGCAAGGCAAAACACCAGTGCATAGAAAAATAAATTTTAAAAAGAAAAGAAATAAAAAATATCATGATGTGAATTTGCTTTTTGAATACTTCAGTGATTTGCATTTTTAAAACTCTTTCCATTGCATGAATTTTGTCAGAATGCAAAAAAAAATGATATGGTTTTTGTTTGTTCATTTTTAAGACAGAGTATCAAGTAGCCCAGGCTGGACTTGCATCCTGATCTTCCTGTGCCCACCTCCCAAGTGCTGAGACTCTAGGACATCACACAGCGTTTATGCATCAATGCCTTGTGCAGGCTAGGAAAGCACTCTTCTGACAGCTACATCACAATGCATTGATTTTTTGTTTGTTTGTTTGTTGAGACAACAGGGTCTCTCTATGTAGCCCAGGCTGGTCTTGAACTCCCAGAGACCCACCTGCTCTGCATATGGAATTCTGGGATTAAAGACCACCATGTGTGCCCTCATAATACATTCTTTTTGTTTGTTTTTCGAGACAGGGTTTCTCTGTAGCTTTGGAGCCTATCCTGGCACTGGCTCTGGAGACCAAGCTGGCCTCGAACTCACAGAGATCCACCTGCCTCTGCCTCCCGAGTGCTGGGATTAAAGGCGTGTGCCACCAACGCCCAGCTTCATAATACATTCTTACAAATTATTCCTATCTGGGTCTGCAGGCTTCATTAGATGTCTGAGAAGCCCATGGCACAGAAAGGGTTAAGGAGCCATACCTCTGAAGAAGCTCCATACAGGCTTTTCCAGAAAAGCTCTGTCCTGCCAAGTTGCCCCAGTTAGGTATAAAGACCTCCTGGGGAGGGACAGCCCTGTCCTGAGCACTGAGGGGCTCAATCATCCCATGACCCTGGATGGACTCCTGCTTAGATACCGCCCTGCAGTAGAAGCTGAGAAGGGTGCTGGAGGGGGAGCTGCTGGGGACACTAGACCCTCCCGAGTCAATGGCAGGGTGTGGAGGAGGAGATGGCTGAACACGGGCCGGATCTGAAGAGGACCACAGAAACGGTACTTGAGATTGAAGGGCTCCAACCGAGCTGTACAGTTGTGGTACCTATAAACAAGAGAGCTAGGAAGCCGCTTATTCGACACAGAGTGATACCAGCAGTAAGCCATGTGTCCTGCTCTTTGTGCCAAAGGTGAGAGGGAGAAATACCAAGTAGCCCACGAACTAAGGGACCAACAGCCATCCGATTTGCCCGGAACTTGGGGGTTTCCCTTGATGTAGACATTCAGTGCCCAAACCCTAGATCAGTTGCCCCGCCCTCTAGCCCAGATGGAGCTGGATGTTTCTTAAGCCATGGTTCCTGGCCATCCCTGTCAGCAGTGACTGCCAGTATTAGCATCATTCTTCACTCATTTGGGGTTGCTTTGCTCAAGCAAACAGAAAGTTCTCAGTGCCCATCAAGCACTGGGAAGCATCTCCTACAACTCTACCCAGCACCCTGTCCAGTGCCTAAGTTCAACCTGCTGCCAGGCAAGAGAAGGGGTTCCCCTTTCGCTGCCCGCATCCCTCCAAGCTTCAGTTTCTAGAACATTCCAATCAGGTTCTTCTCCAGTGAAATCAAAGAGTGCAGTAAACCATCATGGCACCAAAGGGAGGGAGTGACCGTGAGTCCTCACAGTGCCAGATGTGCCCAGGCTTCATTCTTGAGATGTCCCATGGCTCCTCCCCCAAAGAAACAATAATGGCAACAGCAGCAGCCCGCCCCCCCCACCAAAAAAAAATCTTGGCAGAAATGGTGAGCAGAGCTCACTTGGGCTCAGCGGCACGTTGCAGAACCTCATCTTTACTGGGACCTCCAGGCTACACACGGCTTCAGCTGTCTGTTGGCTCCACAATTATTCTGGGTGTGGATCTCACTAAATTCAGGGCGCCAGAGTGTCCTGCTGGCTGTCCTAACAGTGCTCATCTTGGTCAGCAGTCTTGAGGGAGTCCCGGGTGGCTTCAGGCCCCTTCCCAATGGAGGATGCTAGCCTGGGTAGCATTGTCTATGTAGTGTTGTTGGCAACAGGGGACCCAGTCTCGGCCCCGTCCCACAGATGACTAATTGTGTGATCTTGGGCAAGTTATTCAACCTCCCTGCGCCTCAGTTTCCCCTCTGTGTAATGGGGTGGTGGTGGTTTACAAGATTGCTGTGACATGCTAACTGTCATAAGCCAGCATTGTCCCTACCCTGTCCTGGGTGGTGATGAACTCTGTGCAAGGCCTACCAAAGGTCAACCTGGATCACTCCACAGAGAACCACAGGGCCTTGCAATCGGCTTCTGTCCCTGTGTCCCACAGACTGACCTCACTCAGATGATAGGAATGAAGAAATGACAGACATACACATAGGACAGCTCGGATCAGGCTGTGGGAAATTCAGTGTGTTTGTTATGTAGCGATGCCAGGGGTGGGAGGTATTAGTTAATGTCAGTGGGGGTCTCTGTCGAGAGCAGTCTCAGGATGCGGTCATCCTGAGGAGGCAGTGGTAGATACTGTCTTACTTTCTGTCATACTAGTTTTAGATAAAGGTCAACTGTGAGCCGGAGGATGGCCTTGCTGCTCCCACGGGTCTGGAGCATTGGTGTCCTTAACATGGCCACACTCTTGTGGTGAATGCTGCTTCATACAGGTGTACACTCGCTCCCCAAACAGGACAGGTGTCTGCTTTCCCCACCCCCACCTCTCATGTAAACACCATCTATCAAATACTCTTCCTACAGATGGAGAAGCAGAGGCTCATGGGAGGAAAGGACTCAGCCAAGGACTCAGTGCACAGCCTGGCTCTCCCACCTCCCTGTCAAGCCCCTCCTGCTCTGTCTATATCCCCTCCCATAACACCTTATGTTTCCTGTTTTCCGTTTTTATTTAATGTGTATAGGGGCTGGGAGCGTGGGTACATGTGCCCCTGCATGCTTGTGTAGGTCAGAGGACAATGATGAGAGTCGATTCTCTCCTACAGGGTTGATCCTGCGATGGAACTCAGGTCTTTAGTTTGGGTGGCAGGTACCGTTACTGGTGAAGCGATCTCAATAGCCTCTCCCCTGGCATCTTAAAGGGGAGTGAAGGAATAAGTTATGTTCCCAGAAACCTTCAAATGAGGAGGAAGAGGCAAATAGCAAGGGATGAGCCAGCTTTAATCCCAGCACTCGGGAGACAGAAGCAGGCAGATCTCCGAGTTCGAGGCCAGCCTGGACTACAGAGCAAGTTCCAGGACAGCCAGGGCTACACAGAGAAACCCTGTCTCAAAAAAACGAAAAGCAAAAAAGCAAGTCATAGTGGTGCCATCAATGAATCCAGAGTCCAGAAGCAACACCATCATGTACTCCTGCCACAGGGCCTTTGCACATGTGGCCCCCTCCTCCAGAAATCAGTCCCCAGCCTTTCTGGCTGGGCAGCTCCTGACTTCGTTCTCTGGGAGTCCTTTTTGCTTCTTATTTTGACTCTACCCAGAAGTATAACTTACATTCCGTAAATGCGCAGGTACTAAGTGAATGAATTTATAAATGTGCTTCTATTCACCAGACCACGTCCCACACATGGGGAGCTCCCTCTTGCTTCCTTTCAGACTCCTGCTGCCAAAATTGTGAGGACTTTTCTCCCCCTCGATTCCTTCCAGTCCATTCCAGAACTGCATATTCCGGTGCAGGATGTCCTCAGCTTATTTTTCTCAGCGTGTACGTGAGATGCGCCCACTCCATGTGTATACAGCAACGTTCATTCCTCTGCTGTGCGGTGTCACATGGTATAGACACATCAGGGTGCACTCATTTCTTCCTGCTGCAGGTGGGCACCTGGGTGGTTGTTCTTAGCTTGGAGGTGCTGGGTGCCAACCTCTCAGAGATTCTTTCGGTAAACTTGGGTGCTTGTCTGTCTTGGGTACAGCCCCAGAGATGGATCATGGTGCAATGGACGAAAGCAAGTTCAGTGCTGACGGACACCAACAGAAAGCTTTCTGAGCCGGCCTTTCAGTTGTACACCAAATCGGCAGTATGTGGGAATATAGACGGAAGTCCTGAACCAGCGTAGTTACCGCGTACTTACCGCTCGCTCTTCTCCCTGCTCCCGTGTGGCACAGCCAAGCCTTTCTGTCCTGTGTCCATTAGCACAATGCCTCCCTCGTCTCTCACATCCGACCCACAGCTCCTTCAGGGAGATGAAGCCAGTCCGTCACCCCAGCCTTGGCCTTTCATTCTCCACAGTCTTCCTAGCGAGCACCCTTGAAGTCCTGTCTGGAGGACACAAGTCCCTCTTTGCTGTGTGCTAACTCATTTGAAGCCCAGTGCTTAAAGAGGTGGTTCTTCCCTTGGTGGGGGAGGAACACTGGGCCTCTTGGAGCCTTAGTTTTCCCACCAGTTTAATCGGAATTGGGGCTGAGAGGGTGATTCCATCAGTAAAGTACCTGCCACACAGCATGAGAACTCCATCGCCATAAAGCCAGGCACATCTGCAACCCCAGAACCGCAAAATGGGGGTTGGGGACACACAGGCAGATCTCCAGAGCTCACTGTCAGCCAGGCTGTCCTGGCTCACTGAGCATCTGTTTCTCTGAGATGAGAAAAAAAAAAAAAACAAGATGTGTTTCCTGTGTCAAAAAAGAAGATGAAAGGGCCGGAGAGGGGACCAGAGGCTAAGAGCACTGGCTGCTCTTGCAGAGGCTCTGGGTTCAGTTTCCGGCACCCACATGGAGATTCACAACCATCTATAACTCCAGTCCTGAGATATCCGGCACCCTCTTCTGACATCTGTGGGAACAGGTACACATGTGGTACTCAGACATACGTGCAGGCAAAACACTCATACACATAAAATAAAAACATTTACCAAAATAATAGTAATAATAAGATCAAGAGGAATAGATGGAGACACCCTACAGTGACTTCTAGCCTCAAAATACATGTGTACATGCACCCACACACATGTGCTCACACCCACAGGAACATGTGCTCGCGCTCACACACACACTAAACTAAAAACAAATCAAAATAGAATAGGAATGCAATGGTGTCTCTCTCTCTCTCTCTCTCTCTCTCTCTCTCTCTCTCTCTCTCACACTGTGCATTGTCTCTGGGAGATGACAGAGGAGCGCAGAACCAAAGCCACATCTAGGTGACTGGAGAATCTGCAGCCCTCTCAGGAGAGGGGACATTTCCAACCCCAGTATCCCTGTCATTTAAAGGCATCACACAGAGATGGACCGCAGCCCAAGGAGAAGGTAGGCTCTGAGTCCCTCTCTGTCTGTTAACATGGACGGTGTCCTGCCTGTGCTCATCATGCCCCGCCCACATCAGCTCCAACAGCACTGCGTTTAGCAGCACCCAGCACCTGCCAGGCATCGTTCTTTCCTAATGAATTTAAGGGCAGAACCCTCATGCTCATTTAAGGATGGAGAAACTGAAGATGGGAGAAGCCAGGC